AAAATATGAATCCTGACGAATACATTTCGTGGTGTGTGGTTTTGTATTGTAGAACGCGTGGAAATCTACGTCATATCACTTTCTCGGCGGTACAGAAATGATATTTCGATAGGGTCACTTATCGTAGCCATTCGAACCGAAAGCTGAAGTCGACTCCTGTGTCACGTAATGAGGCACACAACCCAGTAAGATAAAGGAGGAACCATAAACGACAGGGGGAGCATATAAATCGTACCAAGATGAGCCAGTTCGTATGATAGTAGAATCACCAATGAAAGAAACAACTTCGCTTGAACAATGTAAACTTGGGTTTCTAGAACGAACGCAACCTGATACAACGGAGAGAACGCAAACTTGCGTTGTAGAAACTGGTTCAGCATCAGAAACGACATAACTTCCAGTGCAGCAAACACCAAGATATTCACGACGGCATAAATTCCCCAATTACCAGCACCGCCAGGGTAGTAAACAATATTCGGTAGCTGCTCAAGCACGGACTTGTACGTGACAAATGCTATTGGGACAACACACTCAATATACTCGACGAGTGCAAGATATTCGCAGTGGAATAACAGCTGGAGTCCTTGTAAAACGACCTGTTTTGTCTGCGTGCCATTTGCATTCGTGCCAGAGTCTCCTTGGTGAATTGTTGAACTTTTACCAACATTCATTGGGTCTCTTCTTGATGATACTTTTGTGAGATCTGGTTCGATTGGCTGTACCGAAGTTTTATGGAGAAGACCAGCTATCAACCGCGTTTGGTGACGAATCGGTCGTGGAGTATTCACGGTATGAACAGTGCTCTGACTGTACGAGCCTGATGCTGCCAGGAGTTCAAGTTGCCCGGATCGATCATCTGGTAAAGGATGTGGAATGCATGCCTGCAATCGCGCACCGTGCATAAAGGTGATGTTGCTAGCACTGGGGTCGCGTGTCACTGTAAGAATCATCGCTAGCAATTCTGTAGTTCCAGTTTGAGCAGAGGGCAGAGAGTAGCTTCTCGATGATTGGCGATCATGAAGTAAAGCCACTAAAACATTTGCATTGGCACGTACTTCGCGGAACATCAGCGGCGATGAATAATGCAGATAGGTACACAGACCCCGCACTTGACATACAAACCGAGATGAACAACGTACTATAAAGATCCACGGTAAAAGTTACAATTTGTGGCATGAAGTTTTCGAGATCACGCGTAGCATTCACCATGAAATATTTGGCTCCAAATCTCCACATCGGCAACACAATTACGGTGACACCTCGGTACCTCGAAGGAATGAATTCGTACAGCGCTTTGTAGAATGGGTAAATTGCAATGAGGACCATGTACGCAACGTGATAGCGCTGAAATCTCTGAAGGTGAGGGCGACAGGGAGAGTTTTTCGTGAAGGGATCCTTGCCAAACACGAGCACAAGTGCCACCGGAACATAAATCATAACCACCAGACCTGTAGCTTGAAAGATAAATAAATGGAAGAGGAAATCCGATATTGCTTGATGCAGTTATTGCTGTTAACATATTAGCCACAATGACTAAGGCAGCGGCAATCAGAACTTTTGAAAGCGGAGCTTCCATAACCGGAACAAGTTTGGCTAACTCGTACATGCCCGTACAATTCATCGTGGACAACATCAATGCCAGACGAATCCAAAATACCCAGTTGGCACTCCATCCTTCAGAAGGAGGTCGAAGCGGTAGATACTCCAATAAAATAGCTGCCAATAGAGCAGGCAGCGGAGTGACAAGACAAACTGTAATCAACCGTGTGTGGGAAGTGACCTTGCAGTAGAAATCGAAGCTTTCGAGGCGCTCAATCGAATAGGAACCTTGGCGACCAACTTGAAAGTCGTTCCATGTCTTCTCGAGGCGATTCCACAGAGACATGTCGAAGCTGCCAAGGCGTAACATTGGGCAACTTCGCTACTTTCTTCGACTCCGAGAATAGATATTTTATTTAGGATGTTCATAAATATACTTCGAAATATGCCGTAAAATCAACCATTACGAATATTTCTATATTAATGTTTTGTTGGGGGGTTCGTTCATTTAAAAACTGGCTTTGCCGTTTTGAAAACAATACACTTCGAAGTTTATTAAAATGTAGTTTAGATTGGCCTAATGGTACGATGATATGCTGGTGACAACTACAATAGAATTCGCATTTGGCAGCATTTACCATCATCCTCGACATACTACCTTCGCACACTCGACATGAGCGAATGCTTCTAGTTGACGGTCTCAGGGACTGCAGATTAATAACGTACTTAAAGTCCAAAATTACAACAAATGACTGGGGTATTGTACATCTGCTGACACAAAACTCCATTAAAAATAAAGCGATAATGCGATAAGTTCAACCAGGGTCGAGATGCAACAGTTAGGCGGAGTCAATCCCAAATGGAATTAGAGCAACCCAGTTGCTATCCACACTTTATTGTTTGCTACGCCTACCTATTGAAATTACTCATTGTAACCACGAAGCCATTCGAAGCGAAAAGTGAAATCAGCCCCTGAGAATACCAAGCCAAGCTATTAGTCGAATACTTAAAGCCAAGTCGATTGCACGTACAAGTAAGCAACATAGTTACCTAGGTGGGCCAACTCGTACTGCAGCAAACCGACAACCTCAAGAAACAGAGTTGATTGCACAAAA